AATTACTAATCAATGAATATAGTAAAGTTGCAGGATATAAAATTAACACACAGAAATCCCTTGCATTGCACTGTTTATAATAGCCAGGACATGGAAGCAACCTAGATGCCCATCAGCAGACGAGTGGATGAGGAAGCTGTGGTACATATACACCATGGAATATTACTCAGCCATCAAAAAGAATTCATTTGAATCAGTTCTAATGAGATGGATGAAACTGGAGCCCATTATACAGAGCGAAGTAAGCCAGAAAGATAAAGACCATTACAGTATACTAACACATATATATGGAATTTAGAAAGATGGTAATGATAACTCTATATGCAAAACAGAAAAAGAGACTCAGATGTATAGAAGAGACTTGTGGACTCTGGGAGAAGGCGAGGGTGGGATGTTTCAAGAGAACAGCATCAAAACATGTATATTATCTAGGGTGAAACAGATCACCAGCCCAGGTTGGGTGCATGAGACAAGTGCTCGGGCCTGGCGCACTGGGAAGACCCAGAGGGATCGGGTGGAGAGGGAGGTGGGAGGGGGGACCGGGATGGGGAATACATGTAAATCCATGGCTAATTCATTTCAATGTATGACAAAAACCACTGTAATGATGTAAAGTAATTAGCCTCCAACTAATAAAAATAAATGGAAAAAAATAATAATAAAATAAATAAATAAATAAATTTCAACCAAAGAAACAGAAAGATGTACAAATAAAAACAGGAAAATGTGATTAAAAAAAAAAAAGAAAGAAATCCCTTGCATTCCTATACACTATGAGAAAACAGAAAGCGAAATTAAGGAAGCAATACCATGCACCATTGCAACAAAAAGAATAAAATATTTAGGAGTATATCTACCTAAAAAAACAAAAGACCTATACATAGAAAACTATAAAAGACTGATGAAAGAAATCAAAGAGGACGCAAATAGATGGAGAAATATACTGTGTTCATGGATTGGAAGAATCAATACTGTGAAAATGAGTATACTACCCAATGCAATCTATAGATTCAATGCAATCCCTATCAAGCTACCAACGTTATTTTTCACAGAACTACAACAAATAATTTTACAATTTGTATGGAAATACAAAAAACCTCGAATAGCCAAAGCAATCTTGAGAAAGAAGAATGAAACTGGAAGAATCAACCTGCCTGACTTCAGGCTCTACTACAAAGCCACAGTCATCAAGACAGTATGGTACTGGCACAAAGGCAGAAATATAGATCAATGGAACAAAATAGAAAGCCCAGAGATTAATCCACGTACCTATGGACACCTTACCTTTGACAAAGGAGGCAAGAATATACAATGGAAAAAAGACAAGCTCATTAACAAGTGGTGCTGGGAAAACTGGTCAACCATTTGTAAATGAATGAAACCAGAACACTTTCTAACACCATACACAAAAATAAACTCAAAATGGATTAAAGATCTAAATGTAAGACCAGAAACTATAAAACTAGAGGAGAACATAGGCAAAACACTCTCCGACATAAATCACAGCAGGATCCTCTATGACCCACCTCCCAGAATATTGGAAATAAAAGCAAAAATAAACAAATGGGACCTAGTTAAACTTAAAAGCTTTTGCACAACAAAGGAAACTATAAGCAAGGTGAAAAGACAGCCTTCAGAATGGGAGAAAATAATAGCAAACGAAGCAACAGATAAAGGATTAATCTCAAAAATATACAAGCAACTCCTGCAACTCAATTCCAGAAAAATAAACGACCCAATCAAAAAATGGACCAAAGAACTAAACAGACATTTCTCTAAAGAAGAAATACAGATAACTAACAAACACATGAAAAGATGCTCAACATCATTCATTATCAGAGAAATGCAAATCAAAACCACAATGAGGTACCATTACATGCCAGTCAGGATGGCTGCTATCCAAAAGTCTACAAGCAATAAATGCTGGAGAGGGTGTGGAGAAAAGGGAACCCTCTTACACTGTTGGTGGGAATGCAAACTAGTACAGCCGCTATGGAGAACAGTGTGGAGATTTCTTAAAAAACTGGAAATAGAACTGCCATATGACCCAGCAATCCCACTTCTGGGCATACACACCGAGGAAACCAGATCTGAAAGAGACACGTGTACCCCAATGTTCATTGCAGCACTGTTTATAATAGCCAGGACATGGAAGCAACCTAGATGCCCATCAGCAGACGAATGTCTAAGAAAGCTGTGGTACATATACACAATGGAATATTACTCAGCCATTAAAAAGAATACATTTGAATCAGTTCTAATGAGATGGATGAAACTGGAGCCCATTATACAGAGTGAAGTAAGCCAGAAAGATAAACACCAATACAGTATACTAACACATATATATGGAATTTAAAAAGATGGTAACCATAACCCTATATGCAAAACAGAAAAAGAGACACAGATGTATAGAACAGACTTTTGGACTCTGTGGGAGAAGGCAAGGGTGGGATGTTTTGAGAGAATAGCATCTAAACATGTATATTATCAAGTGTGAAACAGATCTCCAGCCCAGGCTGGATGCATGAGACAAGTGCTCAGGGCTGATGCACTGGGAAGACCCAGAGGGATGGGATGAGGAGGGAGGTGGGAGGGGGGATCAGGATGGGGAACACATGTAAATCCATGGTTGATTCATGTCAATGTATGGCAAAAACCACTACAATATTGTAAAGTAATTAGCCTCCAACTAATAAAAATAAATGAAAAAATAAAATAAAAATAAAAACACCATTTTCTACCTAAGACCAACTGTATGCATTTAAGATGGCTGATGAAGGCTGCACTGAGAGGCTGTGGGAAGTGACTGAGTTGGAATAAAAACTGAAACTAAGATTTTCACATGATCAACAACACTCTCAACCAAATGACTAAATGAGTTAAACTTCACCCCGTTTTTTTTTTTTAATGATGTGTAATAGCATGGCTTTATTTTGAAAGAGAAACAATTACTTTCTCTGAATCCCTACTATTTATTCTTATTTAAGCCTCAGTATATAATCAATGCACTTCTAACAGTAACAAGAAATAAAAACCATAACAATTCTCATTAACCTTTTATTTTTAACTTAGTTTTACAGTAAAGAAACAGAAAAGTATTATCATTAAAAAAATACCATAGCTGTCAATCTTAAATGTTAAATGAGATTTTAGTTAAACAAAGCAGTAACACTACGTCCTGTAATTACATCTTTACTTGTATATACAAGAACAGTGTGCAAAGTGCTTTTCAAACTATAAAATAAGACTTTGGAATAGGATACAAATGGTTATCCCTAGGAGCTAGTTACCTCCAACTGCTTGTCACGAATCACAACTGCTTACATTCTTACTCTGCATCTTATTTCCTTATATACTAAGAGAAAAGCCACTATTTTCTGATACCAGATAGAGGGCTAATTTTTTAGAATAATTCCAGATCCACAGGTTTAAATTTTATTGTTACATATAATTCAGTTACTGGCTTCATGTTTTTCCCCTAAATAAATAGAGGACAGCTTTTTAAAAGCAAATATCAGTAGATCCATTTAGATAGACACATTTTAATCAAGATGGGATTAAAAAATTAAAAAAAAACACCAAGTTACATGTAAGAAAAAATCAAGGGAAAAACAGTCTTCAGAAAAGCAAATCATATTCTTTTTTCTTCAGGTAAACAAAGAACCACCCTCTATACTAGGGACAGATTTCTTTCTCTCTTATCAAAAACACTCTGAACACATGATGCTAAAGCCAACATCACACATACCAAGAATATTTAAAAATCATTTTATACTAAGCCTTTGAATCAGAGAAATCTTGGAAGTATAAGTAAGGTCCATCTACATGAGCAGGGAGTTTCAAAAGGTATATAGGAAGGATAATTCCAAAGAAAGCCTTCAAGAATCTAAATTACAGTCTTCTTCTTAGTCTATAGGTGGGGGGTGGGGGAGAGACACTTAAATTTACATTAATTGGGTGTGTCTTATTCAAATGGAAGCATATGGCCTGCTAGCTTGCAAATCCCTCCAACACCCCTTGAGAAATAGGTACGTCTCCAATATTATACCCGGAAGAAAAACTGAGGCACTAAGAGGTTAAGAGTCCAGTCTGTGTGGTTTATACCAGTTGCAGAAAAGTGATTTTTCATATGTTTCCTTTTGACCTTTGTAAAAACAGTATAAATAAGTTTTCATTTTATATTTCAAAGCACCCTATAAAGCAGAAACAAGATGTTCTCAGTTAAAGGAAAATGATTAGAAAGAAATCCATGTATATATAACTGAATACAAATCTTATTAATGATCTGCAGGCTCAGAACACACTGACAAACCTACTTTAAGCCCACTCTTCATCATTTCCATTAGCCGGTTAGGTCTATTCTGTGAATCATTTGTAAAAACGAAGCCTAGTACACAGGGCTCTGCTTTATCATGATGATGCCTGAACACTGAAGTCAGAGCAGTGCATGCCCAAGTGGGATCTTGAGCAGCCCACAGAGTGGATATGGAGAAGATTCTTCCAGTCTCTTTCTACTAAATTGCATGGCGGTTCAGTAACTTAGAAAGACAGTTGATTTATCAGCTGAAATTCACTCCTGGTTTGCATACTTTCTCATATTTAATTTAGAAAGTTAAAAATACCCAGTTATAAATCTGTTACCATCATCACAACTATACCTGGGAAAAGCAGCTTATGATTCTCTATGGGCGATAATCAGGTAAACATGTTACCAAACAGTAATTAATAATTTAATGTCCTTTGAAGTCAAGGGTAGGGGAAATCTATGCTACTTATCACCTAGTTGAGATTGATTATTCAAGTATCAGCAATATTAGTCCTTAAAATGTTTATCACTTGTGTAGTGCAAAATATATATATGTATATATGTACACAAACCAAACTATTGGACAACAAAAATGTAATCATCACAAACTAGGATTTTCGTGTGTGCTCCACAATCGGTATCATCCCGAGGTTATCCAGGGCCAGTAGACTTCTTCAACAAAACGTCATTTTCTTTAGTTCAGTTTTCTTTGAAAAGAGGAAAATAAACAAGGTCCTATGAGTATAAATGCAACCTGAATATGAGACACCATACCAAAGAATTTGCAGAATGGTAACATAATTATAATACTCAAATTCAAAATAAGACCATGAAATTACAAATGATTCTTATGCAGTTACTTCATGTCACTTAGAGCTCGACAGGAAAGATCCAGCTGCAAGTGATGACATTACCAAGTTATAGTTTCCAACAAACAATTTAAATACATCTTCCCTGGGAGAGAGGTTCAAGAGGGAGGAGACACAGGCATACCTATGGCTGATTCATGTTGATATTTGGCAGAAATCAACACAGTATTGGAAAGCAATTATACTTCAATTAAAAATAACTAAATTTAATAAATAAATGTACATTCCTCCTCTTATGGCTTCTGGAATCTCATCTAATTGGCTACTCCACAAATTTGCAAATTATTTCATAATTTTATCAAAATGGAAAAGTTCTGAAACAAAAAACTTCCTAAAACAAAAAAAGTTTGCTAGATGCACAACCTGAACTGTTCATTTAATCAACACATATTATGTATCTGTTACTCTCCAGGCACTGTGCCAGTGACTGAGGATCAGCCATCCATGAGGCAGGCTCTCAGCCCTCAAAAATCTCTGTTTAATTGATGGGATGGTGTGGAAAGGACATGTGAACCAACAACTCAGATACGTATAATGTGACAGTTTTACTAATAGCAGGGTTAGTTACCAGGGAAGGATAAACTTGTGAGCACAAGACACAACAATCACATGTGATCTGAATTCTGGGAAAGGACCCACAGCTGTAAAACTTCTAAACGCTCCTCAGCATTGCAGAGGCCAAAATGCCTGAAACTCTCATTACAAATTGATTCCTCTCCTCTGTAGAAGGGCTTCCCTCCTTCACATGGCAAAGAATCTGCCTGCAATTCAGGAGACCCAGGTTCAATCCCTGGGTCGGGAAGATCCCCTGAAGAACGAAATGGCTACCCACTTCAGCAGCCTAGGCTGGAGATTCCAATGGACAGAGAAGCCTGGCAGGTTATAGTCCATGGGGTTGCAAGTTGGACATGGCTTGGTGACTACACCACCACCTCTGTAGAAATAATAATCTTAAGCAACACCTTGGCAGGGATGACCTTGTACATAACTGGACATTCTTCATCCTCTGCAGAAATCTTATGTACACCTGTGTGTGAAATTTTAAATAATCAGATGGATTTTCACATAACAGGAGATTACTCATGACATGAAGGGGAAAAAACCTCTGGAGGGGGAGAATCGTGGGTGGTTGTAAAGACTGCCTGAGTGAGGTGTTAGCAGAAATGCTGACAGGTAGGTGCCTGAACTCATGTGATGCAGATTGCCATACAAGGTCCTCTATAGATTTACCAAAAAGCACATGACTTGATCTATGAAACCCCCAATCTTCAACTGTAATAGGGTAATAAACATAAGTCAGTATTACTATCTTCAGAATTTGGGGATTTTTCTTCAGGCACTTATGAACTGTGTCTCCTTTTATAAAAAATTAACTTGCATAATGGAGGGTATAGCAGGATAAGAGAAGTTACAGAAAACAACAGAAAAGAAAACAGGAATAGCATCCTGCCTTCCCCCAGCCCACTGAACTCTGCTCTGTCAGGAATGCTGAGATGCTTTCTGTGCCCCAGAAACCTAGGCCTGACTTTTTTAAAACATTTATTTATTTTTAATTAATTAAAAACATGCTTCCCTTCAAAGTACAGGCTATCACAATTAAGCTAATATCACAATAAAGTGAGACATGCAAATTTTCTGGTTTCCCAGTGCATAGTTTATACTCTACTGTAGTCTATTAAGTGTGCAATACCGTTATGTCAAAAAAAACCTGTACATTCCTTCAATTAAAAATTGTTCAGTCAGTAAGTCATGTCTCACTCTGCAATCACACGGTCTGCAGTACACCAGGCCTCCCTGTCCTTCACTATCTCCCGGAGTTTCCTCAAACCCATGTCCACTGAGTCAGTGATGCCATTCAACCATCTCATCCTCTGTCATCCCCTTCTCCTCCTGCCCTCAATATTTACCAGCATCAGGGTCTATTCCAATGAGTCAGTTTTTCACATCGGGTGGCCAAAGTATTGGAGCTTCAGCATCAGTTCTTCCAGTGAATATTCAGGGTTGATTTTCTTTAGGATTAACTGATATGATATCTTTGCTGTCCAGGGACTCTCTAAGAGTCTTCTCCAGCACCACAAGTCAAAAGCATCAATTCTTTGGCACTCAGTCTTCTTTATGGTCCAACTCTTAAATCCATACATGACTACTGGAGAAACCATAGCTCTGACTATTGGACCTTTGTTGGCAAAGTGATCTCTGCTTTTTAATATGCTGTCTAGGTTTGCCATAGCTTTTCTTCCAAAAATGCTTTATTGCTAAAAAATGCTAACCATCATCTGAACCTTCGACAAGTCATAGGAATAACATCAAACATCACTAATCACAGATCACCATAACAGATTAAAAAAATAATGAAAAAGCCTGAGATATTTCAAGAATTACCAAAATAAGACCAAGAGACATGAAGTGAACAGATGCTGGGGAAATGGTGCCGATAGGCTTACAATAGAGGTGTCACAAAACTTCAGAGTTTAAAAACTAGAATATGTGTAAAGTGTAAAAAAAATGAGACCAGGTCTGCTTGTAACATTTTAAGACTAGTCTTGTGGACTTAAATAAAGGTTTGTTTTCAGGGACTTCCCTGGCGATCCTGTAGTTAGGGTTCAGCACTTTAACTAACGTGGCCTGGGTTCAATCCCTGGTCAGGGAACTAAGATCCCACAAGCCATGTGGCTTGGTCAAAAAAGAAAGGCCTGCTATCAGTACTTAAGACTTAAGTCATGGACAATTCTAATAGCAGAATGACCAGGCTAGGTATCTGAGGGAATATGGTACCACAGGAGCTACCATCTTAGGAGGCTGGCTGTTCAGGGCCTCATTTTGAACAGGGCTGCAGATGTTACTCTTCATACCATGCAGAAAGAATGTTTTTCAGATACCCTGCAGAGTGATATAGGATCTCATTTACTTTTACAATTTTCTAACGTAAGCTATTATATATAGAATGGATAAACACCAAGGTCCTGCTGTATAACACAGAGAACTATTTTCAATATCCTATGATAAAACATAATGGAAAATAATATAAAATATATATATGTATAATTGAATCACTTTGCTATATAGCAGAATTAACACTAAATCAACTATTAAAAATGTACATTCTTCTATACTTGGAGGAAAAAAATCAAGCAGTGGACCTTAAGTATTACTTCTCATGTAAAAAAAAATTTTTTTTAAAGCTTAACACAAATAGATAAGCAGTTACTTTACAAGTGTATAGGATTATCTCAGTGTGTACTTGCATCCAGATATATATACATTAAATAAAATTAAAGCCTATCCATGTCACATGGTACTTCAGCTGCTCTACCAAGAGTGGGCATTTAGCCATGTATTCAGCACATATTTACTGAAAGCCACATACATGGCAGATACTGTGCCAGAGCTTGATATACAGAATGGGCCATCTCCTGGCCACACTTTTCCCATCCTAAGAAGATTTTTAGATCTCTGTCTTCATCACTAACACAGACCTGTCTCTTCCAAACCATGCACAATGTTCTCTAATCTTCTTTCCTATTAGACTAAAAACCTGTTAAACACTGCCAGGCTTCCCTGTCCATCACCAACTCCCGGACTTGACTCAAACTCATGTCCATCGAGTCGGTGATGCCATCCAACCATCTCATCCTCTGTCGTCCCCTTCCCCTCCTGCCTTCAATCTCTCCCAGCATCAGGGTCTTTTCAAATGAGTCAGTTTTTCACATCAGGTGCCCAAAGTATTTGAGTTTCAGCTTCAGCATCAGTCCTTCCAATGAATATTCAGGACTGATTTCCTTTAGGATGGACTGGTTGGATCTCCTTGCAGTCCAAGGGACTCTCAAGAGTCTTCTCCAATGCCACAGTTCAAAAGCATCCATTCTTAGCACTCAGCTTTCTTTATAGTCCAACCCTCACATCCATACATGACTACTTGAAAAACCATCACTTTGACTAGATGGACCATTGTTGGCAAAGTAATGTTCTGCTTTTTAATATGCTAGGTTGATCTAACTTTTCTTCCAAGGATCAAGCGTCTTTTAATTTCATGGCTGCAGTCACCATCTGCAGTGATTTTGGAGCCCCCAAAAATAAAGTCTGTCACTGTTTCCTCATCTATTTGCCATGAAGTGATGGGACCAGATGCCATAATCTTAGTTTTCTGAATTTTGAGTTTGAAGCCAACATTTTCACTCTCTTTCACTTTCATCAAGAGGCTCTTTAGTTCTTCTTTGCTTTCTGCCATAAGGGTGGTATCATCTGCATATCTGAGATTACTGAAATTTCTCCTGGAAGTCTTGATTCCTGCTGTGCTTCATCCACCCCAGCATTTTTCATGACGTACTTTACATATAAGTTAAATAAGCAGGGTGACAATATACCGCCTTGATGTACTCCTTTCCCGATTTGGAACCAGTCTGTTGTTCCATGTCCAGTTCTAATTGTTGCTTCTAGACCTGTATACAGATTTCTCAGGAGGCAGGTCAGGTGGTCTGGTATCCCCATCTCTTTAAGAATTATCCACAGTTTTTTGTGATCCACACAGTCAAAGGCTTTGGTGCAGTCAATAAAGCAGTAGATGTTTTTCTGGATCTCTCGTTTTTTCAGTGATCCAATGGATGTTGGCAATTTGATCTCTGGTTCCTCTGTCTTTTCTAAATCCTACTTGAACATCTGGAAGTTCACGGTTCATGTACTGTTGAAGCTTGGCTTGGAGAATTTTGAGCATTACTTTACTAGTGTGTGAGATGAGAACAATTGTGCAGTAGTTTAAACATTCTTTGGCATTGCCTTTTTTTAGGATTGGAATGAAAACTGCCAGATTAAAACATACCTTAAGCCCCTCAGACAGCATATTAAAAAGCAGAGACATTACTCTGTCAACAAAAGTCCATCTAGTCAAGGCTGTGGTTTTTCCAGTGGTCATGTATGGATGTGAGAGTTGGACTATAAAGAAAGCTAAGCACCGAAGAGTGGATGCTTTTGAACTGTGGCGTTGGAGAAGACTCTTGAGAGTCCCTTGGACTGCAAGGAGATCCAACCAGTCCATTCTAAAGGAGATCAGTCCAGGGTGTTCATTGGAAGCACTGATGCTGAAGCTGAAACTCCAATACTTTGGCCACCTCATGAGAAGAACTGACTCATTTGAAAAGACCCTGATGCTGGGAAAGACTGAGAGCAGGAGGAGAAGGGGACGACAGAGGATGAGATGGTTGGATGGCATCACCGACTTGATGGACTTGAGTTTGAATAAACTCTGGGAGTTGGTGATGGACAGGAAGGCCTGGCGTGCTACGGTTCATGGGGTCGCAAAGAGTCGGACACGACTGAGCGACTGAACTAAACTGAACTGAAAGCCCCTCAAAGCCAAAACTTTACTTCCGAATCAAACATGGCTCCACCTCCAACCTCGGTTGGTTTGTTACACATGTAAGCAAACAATACTTAAAAACACTATCTCATCAAAATGCAGTTGCACAGCACTAAATAATTTACAACTTGGAAGGACGACAACACTCAGGATACATTGAAAACTGGATACAGATTCAATAATAATGTAACAGAAAATTAAAAACAGAGAAAAGTTTTCCCATTCAGAGACATCTGTCAACAACCAGAAGGCATACTTAGAAGGACTATTATATACTTTCACTAGTGAGGAACATTAAGAAATAATAATCATTTTAGAAAAACTGTAATTTTCAGAGACTAAGCAAAGTACAATTTGTTTTTTCAGTTTTTAATAAAAGTGACAAGCTGCTTCAACCTTGAGTGTGAAATAACACTGAAGTAGTAAGCTTTACATTTTTTTCGTCCTGTACCCAGTTTCTCTATTCTCCAGTCCCCAACTTTCAACAAAGGAAAACATGAAAAAGAATTCTTAAATGCATTGCAAAATATATACACACTTTCCATTAGCACTACTGTTGCCAGCTGCTTAAATTCAGCATAACCACCTACTGAAAAACAGTTTGGCTCTTTTTTCCTCCTGGTATCAGGGATGTTAGGATTTAAAATACTGTATAGAACCCAACCATCACACTAGAAACATAAATTGTGTGGAAAAAGAAAGGATTTAAATTATAGTCTATATCTTAACAGCTGAAATAACACATATACAGATGGCTTAGAAAGGGGGTAAATGACACTGAGAAAGCAGCTTAGGCTTCTGAAATCCCACCTAAGTTTCTGTAAGTCAGTAAGGATATTCCAAGAACGTTAATGTACCAGAAAACAGTGAGTTCACTTATAAACATAAATCAAACTGTCATAACATAAGCAGAGAACAAAGAAGACTAAATGAGGTCACGTGCATTTTCAGTTTCTCTACTATGAAGTACTCTCACTAGAGCACTTAAAGAGTAGTGAGCTAAAAAAAAAAAGAGTAGTGAGGAGCTGTTTACCCCTATGATGTAAGAGAAGGGTAAATATTTGGTTTTTGCTTTTGTTATCATGTGCAGTAATTAGAAACGTGAGTTCTTTGGTAGAGATACAACAGACATACAATTATTTAATTTGTAGGTTTTTTAAAAAATGTGTTTCTACTGCACATATGTAAGAGAACACTTAAAATCTTACCACCAAACACCCTCTCTATTTTCCCCATCAGTTCTGACTTAATGGGAAATGGTGACAAAACAACAAAAACATAATCAGTGAGGCCAAGAACGACCAACATTTGTCCATCTGCCCATCCAGGGAAAGTAATTCAGTTTATGTAGCATCTCAAAAAATTGCTCTAAAGATTTTCTTGAACCAAGAGTTTTGGCCTCACGTTACTCCTCATCTAGACAACCTCAGAGTACTTGCCAACCATTTTATTATTTTCCGTCTTATCTGAATTATTTCCTGGCATCCAATCTGGAATTCTGGTTCTCAAATTAGAATAAGCCCTACTTCTGGAGACAGTCAACCACCAGGGTGAACATTTTCTAAAGTGCCAGTGTCTATATTTCTAAGGTATAGAATGAATGCAGGCATTATTTTTCATCTGTTGTCCTTTAATATTAGCAAAGGGCCCAAAATAAACATCAGATGTTAAGAACAATATTTCTCCATAAGACATAAAACTTATGCCTGTAATCAATCATTTTCTTGTTGCATGAATCAAAAGTGTACAAATTCTTTAAATGCTCTCAAGTGAAAAAATTTTAATCTGACAAGTGTCTAGCAACCCACCAGATATCATTACCAAGGCAGTCGCAGTCTCAGATCAGTACAGGATGTTCAGTATGATGATCTATCTGTAAGATGGACCTGTCTCCCTGCCTACTGCTGAAAGCTCTGTCTGCTGTAAAAGAGTCCACATACCGCTTAGAATACATACTGCTTAGAATTATATACCAGTACGGAAACTAGTGATACAAACAGTCTTCTCTGATGGCTCAGACAGTGAAGAATCCACCTACAATGCAGAAGACCCGGGCTCGATCCCTGGGGCACAAAGATCCCCTGGAGGAGGAAATGGCAACCCACTCCAGTATGCCTGGAGAGTTCCATGGACAGAGGAGCCTGGTGGGCTACAGTCATGGGGTCGCAAAGAGTTGAACATGACTGAGTGACTAAAACTTTCACTTTTTTCACTTTAGAATTATAAAACTATCATATTACCTTCTCCTTCTTTGGTAATATAAATGCACCAACCACTGGGCAATAAAAGGCCATATGATAGCAAAGGTTAATGCACCAGGAGACATCTCGAAGGGCCACCAAGATGGTCTCTGAGAAAATAAAGTAAGCTGGTCACCAATCTGTTACATGCATAAACTTAAAAACACACCTAGTTCATAATTCTTTAAATATACAACAAATAAAAGATTTCATTCCTCCTAAAGGGAGGGAGATAATTTTAGAGCATAATTCAATAACATAGACTTTCAGGAGTACTTCAGACTTAAAAGACAAACATAGATATATAATTTTTTAAATCTTTTACTTTGTATAGTAGTGTAGCCAATCAACAAACAATGTTGTGATAGTTTCAGGTAAAGAGCAAACAGATTCAGCTATACATATACATGTATCCATTCTCCCCCAAACTCCCCTCCCATCCAGACTGCTACATAACACTGAGCAGAGTCCCCTAAGCTATACAGTAGGCCCTTGTTGGTTATCCATTCTAAACACAGCAGTGTGCACATGTCTATCCCAAACTCTTCCTTCCCCCGACCCTTCCCCTGAGGCGACCAGAAGTTTGTTCTCCAAGTCTATGATTCTCTTTCTGTTTTAGAACAAATATATTTTAAACCTCAAAGTTCAAAATGATAAATATTATTTTGAAAACTTTAAGAATATCATATAATCTATATTTAATGTAACCTGTTTGAAACCCTGGCGCTTAAATTTAAGAAAAGAATTTCTTACCGGTGAAGTGGGCTGATTACTGGTCTGTAATGCTGATGATTTTGCCTATAAACACAAACAAACAGTGATTTAGCTTTGACAGAAACAATACAGTACTTTTTTCCTATTTCCTGTCTTTTAAAAAAAGCCTGAAATATTCGTTTATTCTCAATTTTGCAGCTAATTATGATTATTCTGAAACTCACAGTGACCAAATTAAAAGTCCCCTTAACGTTGCCAGCCAAATAGTTATCTTTGGCATTTTATGTTTTATAGTAGTTCAAATATAAAATTATCAAAATAAAACCTCAAATTAATGAACCATTACTTCTTTTTTTTTTAGCCATTACTTCTTTTACACTCTTTTTAAATTACCTACTCAACATTTCTTAATTCCTTAAATTCCATATAAGATACCAACTTACAAACATTTGAGGAGAGCCACAGCCCTGATCATTAAGAATGTAAAAAATGTAAAGATTATGTGAACAATATCCAAATATTTGTTTTGGAAATTCATGATCAGCTATAGCAAACCATAGTGGAGGTCAAATCATAACTTTTCCTTTCTCTCCACTTAGAAGTTCTCATCTTAAAAATAATTTACATTAAAGAATGGGGAAGTTAGTGTATTGCCCCCAGAGCATTTTAAAAAGAGGTCAAGACAGAGGACCATGCTTACTATAAAATGATGACACTTCAATGATGGACTCCAGGACATCAGCTACAGTCTCTGTTAGTGCCTAAAACTGTACTATTCGACTATTCTTATTCTCCTATTCTTCTTCCTACTTCCAACGTGGTACTCCTAATTTTATAGACTGAAAATTCCCTATTACTTTAAGTGGTATGTGGCTTTTGGCACAGTCTTTTCTGAAATAATATTTTCAAAAGTAGAACCTTTTAAAAATCATTAATCTCCACTGATATGTTGTAAATCAGATTTATTTTTTAATGTAACTGCAAATAATTACTGTGCCCCCTACTTGGAATGAGGCTCCATGCTTAAGCAGCAGTAAATAAAATAGTTCCTACAACCATGGTGTTTAATAGTCTAACCAGAAAGAGATATTAAACACACAGTACTGAAAAAATCCCACATTCAACATTGAAAAACCATTTTGTTTTTTTTTTTTTTTAAACCATTTTCTAAATTGTTACTGTGTAGCATTTTGTGCTTCCAGAATCTCTTTCTTAGCAAAACCATTCAAATCAGTGTGTCTGAATATTTTTCTCAGTGTGTTTGAATACACCTCTTGACAAAACATCATCTGAGCCCTGTTCCCTAAAAATAACTTGTTACTTAACTGCTAAAATAAGGTTTGGGTAGTATTTGTGTGGTCCATTTAAATCAGATTAACACAGATTCCAGCTGCACACTGTTTGACAGGATCAACAGCAGATTAAGACAAGACAAATGCAGAAGCCCACCTGTGATGCCGCCAGCATCTCCAGTTTGTGGAGTCTCTGGAGGACGTTCTGCATGTCCTCCTGCAGGCGCATGAGCACAAGAGCAATTTGCTCGTTCAGGCTGCCCCTTGAGCCTCTGTCCGAACCCCAGCGTTCCCCATCACCTCCACTTCCCACTTGCCGACCCTTGCTTCCTTCGCTCAAATGCTGCATCCTGTGCCCTATTTTAAGAGACCAAAATAAATTATTTTTTGGCTCAGTGGTAAAGAATCCACCTGCCAACTCAAGAGACTCAGGTTCGATCCCTGGGTCAAGAGGATCCCCTGGAACAGGAAACAGCAACCCACTCCAGTATTCTTGCCTGGGAAATTCCATGGACAGAGGGGCCTGGCGAGCCACAGTCCATAGGGTTGCAAAAGAGGGACATGACTTAGCACCTAAACAACAATCATTTTTATAAAAGTAGAAATGATGGGGTTTGGGTTTTGTTTTTTGGTGTGTGTGGGTTTTTTTTTTCATTTTTCCTCTTTCTTTGAGATCTAAATTTCCAAAGTGAAGTGGAAGCAATAAGAAAGTACACAAAATAAACTACTAAAATCAAAGAAGTTGACATAGGTGGAAACTTCTATTTACACTTACTGTTTTTTTGCTAAGGTTTTATAATGTACCTAATAAACTAGTACACGACTCAATGTATATAATATATAAATAATACACATATTTGGGTAATTCTTAAGAATTATTTACTAGTATAATAACAAGATTAAAAATATGAAAACTATTTCTTTTAGAGTACTGAGAGCTACACCAAATAGCCATGTTTTCTTATTTGGTCACTGTAAGCCTCCCAAAGGTTTTTAAGTGATTTTTCTTATAAATTCTATCATACTTACAGACATATAGAAACCTCACTACTATTAACATGTGGTTACCTATCCATCCATTTTTTTCCCTACACATATATTTACAGAATTGGCATTACCCCTTATATGTGATTTTGTGTACTACTTTGTGTGTGTGTACTACTTTTTAAAAGATATTATGAACATTTGTGTGTTCATAACAAATTTTATTTTAAATAATAAAATTGTATTCCAGTTCCAATAACACTGAAATGGCTATGTGAATTCATTAGTAAGACCAAGAAGTAATTTACTCAATTGTTCTCCACGTTTGGATAGCTAAGATGACTCCAAATTTTTGCGATTACAAATAACTTTGCAATAAATATTTTTGTATATAAATTCTTGTCCAAATTTCTGTTGATTTCTTTAGGTCAGACAAATTCAAAGAAGAATTTCTCGGTGAAAGGATAACAACTCTGTTGTGGTTTTTAATAAATGTTGCCAAGTTATTTTTAAGAAAGACTGAAACTTTTTGTTTGTTTGTTTGTTTGTTTGTTTTTGGCTGAGCTGCATTGGGAATCCTAGTTTCCTAATCAGGGATCAAACCCACGCCCCCTACACTGGGAATGCAGAGTCCTAACCACTGAACTGCCAGGGAAGTCCAAAAGAGTTTTGTATTGCAGTGTGTAAAAGGTACTACCATGTTACCTTGCCCTTGCGGAAATGGGATATCACAAGTTTTACATGTTTGCTAATATAATGTGTAAGTTTTAAACATTATTATAGGGAAATTCCCTGGCAGTCCAAGGGTTAAGACTTCATGCTTCCACTGCAGGGGGCAGGGGTTCAATTCCTGATCAGGAAATAAGGTCCTGTATGCTGCATGGCACGGCCAAAAGACAAAAATTTTAAAAAAGGTGGCTACCTTAAAGAAGTGTATAAAAGATATGGAAATAGACATGTTTTCCCCCATGTCTTCAAAGAATACAGTGCTATGCCCTGTAGAGTCAAAGGAGAGAACCAAACATAAAGGAAAATGGTCAGATGTTCTGAGGATAACTCTCAACACTCCCTTTGCCAAGGACAGTCCTGGTGCCTCTCCTATCGAGAACCTCCCCATTTCATTAATTCCCTTATAAAGGCAGTGAGAACAAAACACAAGTACCACATACCTCTCCCTCTCCTAATGTTAGAGAATTCCTCACTTTCTCCAGCCCGTTTCTCGCGGTGCGGGGCGCCACTGTTACTCCCGCCGTCCTCTCCCCCGTGCTTTACTTCACCTTTGCCTTCAACTGCTGCTACCTGCATGTCCCCAGTGCTGCCGTCCCCAGGAAGTACTTGAACATCTTCAGGAAAACCAGAACTTTCCAACGGTTGACTGGGATTGCCACCCAAGTAATAGGAAAATGGTCCGTTGTTTGATATAAAGCCATCTAAAGACTACAAATGGAAAACAGTCACACATCACCAAGTTCTTATGACAAGTGAAGAATTACTGGCTTCGTGGTTTTTTTTAATGTTATCATAGAAAATATTATTTTTCTAAAAAATGTCAACTCATTTTCTGCCTCCCATCTGCAGGGAAGAAACGGGATGGAGATGATTCATCTATGAGCAAAGAACTGAGATACTTGGCAATGAATTGTTCTCATGAGTCACTCATCCAAGAAACATTTAAATACCTAGAGTTAATGTGTTCAAAAAGCACTGTCACAACATTGTAAATCAATTATACCTCAATAAAGTTAAAAATAATGAATTAATGAATTTAAAAATAAAAAATAAAATAAACTGAAAAGAAATTCAGAAGGAACTGTGTTAGAATAGGGGTGGGGGACTGGGGGAGATATATAAACAACAAGCATAAATGCAACTGTCAAAACCACCTTAGCTGTTACCAGGAAAAGTTGTCAAAAAGGAAAAATAAAATTCATGTACTTTAATGGTTTCTCCAAAGTCTACTTTCAATACCAAATCTTAATTAACTGAAATTTTAAAAAGTATTTCCATTCAAAATTTCAGTCTAAAGTATTAGTCAACATGAAGAACAGATTTATTTAAGTTATTCAGTCTTCTTGACTGTTAGTCTCAGACATAAGGACTCAATAAGGAATTCAGCTTCTGCCTCCCATCCCACCTCTCTCAGAATATTTATAAATGTAAATACATTATAAATTGTAATATTTAAATATTTTGAATAGTCAGAAATTTTATATATTTTTTAACTCACAAAAAAGCAAAATACAAATGTTTAAACATTTTACAGGTACGTTTTCAAAGTGGTGAAAAGCATACACATCTGTTATTAGCAGAAGTTATGCATGTAATTTGAATATATCACTTTGAAAACTTATCGATTAAAAAAATGTTATTTTTACCTCTTCTTGCCCAAATTGCTCCATGGAATCACAGTAAACTTCACTGTCTGAATCACTTGTCAAATGTTGAATTCCTGAAATATCTTCAACATGATCATCATTTACATCTAAATATAAAAAAAAGTCCAGGTAGAATAGTTATTCTCTAATTGAAGAAAAATGCATTTATTTCATTTTCAAAACTTATTGGCTCCATATTATTTTCATATTGGGATAGAAATATGAAAGTTAATTTACTTTAACTTACCAAAAATTTAAATTCAATCTAATTTTTATGTAAAAAGATTACAAAGTATTTTATCATGGAATTTTACAAAGACACTGTCCAGATCAAGCTTATAAAAACCTAATAACAACAACAACAAAAAAAACCCTAATAACACATAAGAAAAAAGCTGACTACCTGCCAGGGCCCTAAATCTGGGATGCAGCCATGCATGTTTGGTTGTAATGTTAAGAAATGGCATTTCTTGGTTTCTTGAGTGAATTGCATCAATGTCAGTAATTCACTACTGTATGCTCATCCCTAGAGCCCTAATTTATAAAAAGACTATAACTTACCTTGCTGACTTGAGAACAAAAGTGTCATATAGAGTATGAGTTAAAGAAACATCAGTAATAAAAGCAAAAATTTCCAAGATTTTATTTTAAAATGCCACATAAAAACACAATAAAAAATGTCTCAAGAAAAATATAAAAGCCCTAGCCCTAATTCAGTCTTTCAAAGAGATAACCCTTATAATAGTAATAAACCCTAAGATGTTACTCATAAGAGGTTTTTTAAAATTCTCAGCTGCTCCTAAATATCTTAAAATTACTAAAAGAGTATTTTATTCATAGGAAAGAAGCCGGAGAAACAAATTTTGATGGGGACAGTACCTTGGTGAACGCAGACAACAGTTTTTCCAGTCTGCTCCAAGTTTTCATCTACAGATTTTACTTCCTCAGTGCATCGGCCATTCAGGGAAGGACTGGCATGAATGCTGTTCTGTACGCCCTGCACAAAGCTGTCTTTATCATAGCCATTAGTGACAATGATTTCCAAATTCTTATGGTCTGCAGATTTCTTCATCATTTTCTTATCTTTCATGTGAAAAGGGAGAGATTCATAAAAGTTCACTGTAGGAAAACTTCTGTACACTATGTTCTAATATTGGGTAGTCATTTCTCCAGCCTAAGATAATCCTTTTGAAGGGCTTCCTACTTGGATCAGAGAGACAGGGTGCTCCTTGAAAATGGGTTAATTACATGCTGAGAGCTCACCCAAACTTGTTGGTTTCAAAACTGCTTCAGTTGCATGTGAATCTACTCAAATCCCTTTCAAGAGTTACTCTCTCAAGGTCCTTTCACTCTCTCAGGCATAGGCAAATTATTTTGAGACCCGGGCAAACTAAGAGGTCTACATAGCCAATAAAAAGAGCCTTCAAAGAAGGTATTACTTGTCAGACTTTATTGGAAAGTGAAGGCAAAACTAAGCTGTATGGTTTGTTTTAGTGTCTTTCTGCCCCCCCTTTCTAAAACAATCCCCCGAAGAATCACTGGTACTCTTACTCACAAGGCCCCCCCCAATGCAATACCCCATGATTCCAACATTCCCTGTTCATCAGAATCTCTGCCTGTATCCTATTCCCTGGAACCCATGCTGTTCTTGACACGATATTGAGGGTTGAATTGTCTCGTCTCCTTGGTAACATATACATATTTATAAACGGGATACATTTCTAATGCAGCGTTTCAGGCACTGCCTTTACAGGAGTGGCCTCTCCTTGTCAGCCTTCAGGGAACATCAGCCCATCTATGCTTAAGGCTGGCTGTCCCTGACCTCTGTAGTGGAGCATCTTGGTCCACAACAAACCTGGTTAGAGGTCACGAGTCCAGGCCCTCCACGCATCCTGATCACACACAATACCAAGTTAGTCCACACCGCTCCACAGCCTTTCATCTTAATGCAAAGTGATCAGCCCATTGCTCAAAGATTACCGCTATCACGTTGTTCTGGTCCTTTCGTGTCTTCCTGGGCCTCTTCTTCCTCAGATTCAGCTCCACTATCACTGCTTTCAGCTTTACCATTAACAGTTTTGGCATTTGGAGTAGAAGCTAGAACATTACCAAGATCTAAAATACAAAATGACCATTTCAACTTTATGCTGTAACACACAATCATGTTATAATTTACAAATAATACCTTGTATAATTCACAAATAATAAAATAATATTGAAGTAAAAAGTTAGAATGTTAAAAAAAAGTTAGAATGTTAATATATAATTAACAGTATTATTTTCTTCAACTATAAATATATGTACATTACATTAATTCCTCCAGTTATCTGTTCACAACAAAATGGTAACACTATCTTAAATTCTTTCTAAACAAGGCAGAGGATAAATTATTTTAACACTGATCAAAATGTAAAGGTAAGAAATGAATGATATTTATACACAGTAAATGAAGAGACAGTTGTTACAGTTGTTACATATATTAGCATGCTGAAAACACCTTTGGCCCTAAAAGCACTCATGAATATTATGGCTGGACTGCATTAAAATGTTTTTTATCCTTTTATTACCTTTAGGGCTTCAGGTGCACAAATTACATTACTATGTCTTTACACAGTAAATGTAAAGTTAATCTTCTTCTTTGTTTTAAGCATGAGTTTAAAAAAAGAAAAAGCATTAGTTAATATGATCAGTCACTTAAAAGGAGCAAATTGTCCTATTACCCAAAGTCATACCTAAATACCATCAAAGGTTCTCAAACATTTTCATGGATAGGAATCACCTGAGATCTAGTTAAAATGCAGGTTCTGAATCGGTAAATCTGGGGTAATCTAGGATTCTGGATTTCCATAAAGCTCCATGTGATGCCAATGCTGATGGTTACTGGACCATATTCTGAGACACTGGGGATTATATTTCCATAACTCTGAGATATTGAAAGAATCCTAAGTGGCTCTTGGCCAAAAACAATGGCATTCCTCCACAAACATCTGGGCTTTATTTTCAATTATACAGGTCCATTCTGGATGCTTCCACGCATCTCAAATAACCTATTAAATCTCCATTCATTTTTAACAGTCAGGCTTATAGCCTTATTTAAATCTCCCTAATCAGTAGCAGTAACAAATAAAACTTCAACTCTATAGTCAACATTGAGCTCTGTTCCCTCTCATAGAATCATGATGATACCACAGCTTTTGAATCTCCCTTACTCTTCCCCTGACAACCAGAAAAAAATAAATAAAAACTGACAATAAGTAAAATACAGAAACACCCACCACTCACAGAGACCTTCAACAAAGAAAGCAACAGGGAACCGCCTAACCCCTGTCATCAAATGGATGTTAGCAAAGCACCAGACAGCAACAAAAGCAGCCCCGTACCACCTCTGTGATGAGAGCTGCAGAAAGCATGAAGAATTATTAATAAGAGCTACTCAACATCCAAAAATCAACATAGTACACCATAGTAGCCGACTAAAGGACAAAACCCACATGATTATCACAATGGATGCAGAAAAGGCACTTGACAAAACCCAACACTCAACAATATAATACTGAAGAAATTGAGAATATAAGAAAAATTTCTCAGTATGATAAAGGGCATTTATGAAAACTTACAACTAGAATCATACTTTATGTTAAAAGACTGAATGCTTTGTTTCTAAAACAAGGAAGAAGACAAAGATGTACTGTAAGTTCTACCTGGGGCTATCAGGCAAGAAAAATAAATAAAAGCCATCCAGATTGGAAAGGAAGAAGTAAAATGACCTCTGTTTGCAAATGACATGCTCTTATACACAGAAAATGCTAAGTAATCTACTAAAAAAATCTATTAGAAATAATAAATGGAAAAAAAAAGAAATAATAAATGGTTCAGTAAGGTTGTAAGATACAAGATCAATACACAAAAATCAATGTATTTCTACAAACTACCAATAAACAATCCAAAAATGAAATTAGAAGAGTCAATTTGCAATAGCTGCAAAAAGAATAAAATAATTAGCCACACATTTGACAAAAGACAGTGTAAGGACTATACACTGCAAATGATACTACATTGTTGAAAGAAATTAAAGAAGATGTAAAGAAATGGATTGGAAGGTAATATTATTGAGCTGACAATACTCCCCCAAATGATCTATAATTCATTATAATCCCTAACAAAATCTCGGCTAGGCATTTTTATAAAAATTGACACGCTGATTCTGAAATGCATAGGGAATGCAGGGAATCAAGAACCGACAAAACAATTTTGAAAAAGAACTAAGTTGGAAAGCTCATATTTCCTGATTTCAAAACTTACTATGTACGTTCTGAAAAAGCCCATGTGACACAGATAATCTGTTCTACTTGGCCTACTTTTAATAAGAACAAAAAGAACTACTTCTAATAAGATTCTTTGTTTAAAAAAAAAAACAAAAAATTCAAGATTACAAACTGTCTTGCAATTTGGCAGTATCTTACAAAAGTGGAAACACCCATCAAACACTCAGAACCTGTGATTTAGCAATTACATTTCTAATATAATTTATTACCTGTATAGCTCCAAATGTAAAATTACATTTGTACATGGTTACTTTCAACAGCAGGCTTTGAAAATCAGAAGAGGAAACAATCTAAATTCCTTTAGAGTATCACAGGTCAAATTTATGGTGTAGGTCCACATCCCTCACATTCCTTGGATCTAGATACGATTTGAAATCCAGAGTTTTCTAACTTTGCAAAGGTCATATACTGTATATAACATGTATTATACAACACCTTCAATAGAATCTAAGGCAGCTCTCACTAAAAAATTTTAAAAAATAATATTTTTACAGCAAAACATAGTAATAGGCAAAATTAGAATAAAAAAATAGTCTCAAGACATTTCAGATCAAGGTTTGCTCCTCCTACACATAGTAGGACACGTTTTTCTGCCAAATGGGTTACCAAAAAAGCTTTATCAAGCCTTTCGAAATTTTTAATTATAGCTAAGGGATTGTGGATCTGAGACTTCATTATCTGAAACTTCATTAGTTTTTTCAACATTTGCCTCTGGCTATAGGCTGGACACAGCCAAAGCAGGTCCAGAATTATTCCCTTCTGCATCCTAGAAACATACTTCAGAGAAAGAAGACATTGATAGTCTTTTCTGACTTCTGACTTGAGTAAGTATGAAATATAAAGAAGGTGATTTGTTAATATTTGACCCCTCGAGTAGACAAATTAGATACAGAGGGTGTGGTACTGAGTCATACACAGTAAAAATCACCGTCAGTTATGATGGCAGACACAATCTGCAGGCCTTATGACAGGACAGGAAGATTACTGTTTTCATCAATTAGTAAAAGATGGAATAGGATGCCAGGGAAAAAGAAAGTAAGGATGGCCAAGCTGATTTTTATTTAAAACATATATGATTGTCATTTAAAATGACTCTTACTGGCTCATTTCACTTGGCTTTCTAAAACAATTTGAAGAGCAAATGTTGACAGTTAATACCAGCAATTCTGCAGATTTTTCAGCTCCTGCTAGTACATAAAAGATAAGCCTTTCAATTCTTTACTGAGAACATGAAAACACAATTCTAAAAAAAAGAAGACAAGTGAGGTGAATTCACTGACGTCTTGTTTTAAACACTCTAAACCTCTAGCTACACTAAAGTTAGACCATACTATAAACATAATCACTTAAAATTAGCTAGCAAGTCATTTCAGCCATACCACTGCTAATGCAATTCATAAAGCAAATGGAAAATATAAAATATGAATCATAAAAACAAAACCATGAATTGTTACAATTCTGTACACAAATGAACCATCTGTCATATTTTAATAACTCAGGGTTAACAATTAGGGTTTATAATATTTTGGAACTTGGTGCAATGTATTTGCTTAGAAAAAAACTCGAGTGAAAAGCTTGTTAAGTTATATAAATTTGTGCAGAATTCTTCTGACATATAAATTTTGAACAAAATTTTCACATGGATTTCATTTATTCCTACCTTCTAAGCATTTAGAGATTTTCTCCAGTCGGACTGGCATGACAAAGTGAAAAAAAATTAGACATGTAAATGTTAATACACACATAATATATCAATTGCTCAATGAAAAACTAGGTAAAAGAGTCCAACCTGAGGTTAAATCAGAACTTCTGCCACTTTTCTTGTCTTCTACAATTTCATAAAATGGACCAATGACATGTAGCAATTCTTCAACTTTTTCAGTCATTGGCATAGTTTCGAGAATCTGTAATGAAATGAAACAAATCTTGTGAAAACCAACTATTAACGTGATCCACACTGTGACCAAATAATATATTTATAATTTACTTACTGATAAACTTTGAGAAGTTCCTTTACAGACTCCTCAAAGTATCTATGTTAATTAATATTAATGTATATACATTACCCTAGAAAAATTTCAGGCTAAGATTTAAAAGTGTTCTCATTTTGAAAACTACTTTACATAAGCTTTGTGCAAAATTTTACATGATAACCTATATATTGTGCATTAAACACTAAAGGCACTAATGTAAAATAAAATAGAAAACTGTGGGACTACAGTAAAATTCTTGTGTTTGGTATTTAAAAAGGTACTTAAGGAAGGCAGGAAATGGTAACCACTTTCAGACATCTTCATAACTATGGGCCAATTCAGAATCATCAGAGTTAAAAGGCAAGGTAAATTAAATGAAAAAGCATTCAAATAAACAGTCATCAGCTGGTGACTGGCAAATTATTTCTATATGTGGAATTTTTAAAATTTATTTTTAATTGGAGGATAATTGCTTTAAAATATTCTGTTGGTTTCTGCCATACATCAACATGAATCAGCCATAGATATACATATGTCCCTTCTCTCTTAAATCTCCCTCCCACCTCCTACCTATATATGGAATATATTACAAATATTAAAAAGTCTAAGATTAGTTCTGTGTGTGCTGATTGGGAAAATATCTATAATTTTTTTTTACAGGCAGACAGCTAGTTGCTGCACAGTATGTTCAATATGATACCACTATTGGTTTTCTTTCCATTTTTAAATAACAGGATATATATATGTACATATATATATGTCTTTTCTGTATCAATCTGCAAAATATAATTAAAAGTAATTACCACTAAAGAATTAAAATGGAGGGAATGAGGAAAGATTATAACAAAATTTAAGGTTAAAAAAAAAAAAAGAATGGTATCAAACCAAAGCTGTAGATTATCTTTCTCTCCGCTTTTGAAAGGCTCCTTTGTTGTGCTACTGATACAGTTAACAACCAAAAGAACTAAGCTCTGACCTCTGTTACAGATAAACAAAGTCCACCAAATAAAACTGTGAAAATGTAAGAAAATGCACAACTCTGAGCAGTGTAGAAGAGATGAAACCAAAGCAAATCAGTCTGAATCTACCAAATAAAGAATATTACTAAGAGATTAATACTGTCAAAGGACCTGGCAAAAATGATTCCTTTTTACAGATTTTCTCATAAAGAAAGGTTATTTTACATTATCAGACAGATCTAGATTTCACAACTTCTAATTTATCGCAACATACAAATATGGTCCTTTATAAAAAGGCATTAAGATCATCTTTAAAATGACAATTTAAAATGATTTCTTCATTAAATTGCTTCTGGAAGAGCTAATTAATAAAGAATGCCCTCCTTACTAGTTACCAGACAAACTAAAAGCATCTTTATCTTATTCTCCTTCTGAAGAATTTTCGCATTCACAGAAAAAAGCTTGTTAGTGAGAAATCTACTGATAGGAACATCTCAATTTATAAGTCAACACTTATATGGGAACACTGTTGGGCAGTTTTATTACCTATTTCTTATTAAAAGTTTCAAAGCAGAAATGTTTTAAAGACAGTCCAGGTAAGTCCCAGACTTCTGAGAAAGGAAAATCAATATTTTAAAAGGTTCCTGTTCATATACTTTCTGCAGAAGTCAACTATAGAGAAAAATAGGAAAGATGAAAAAAAGAAAACAAAATACCATGTCACCACGATGTGATCTACCTTCAAGAAAAAACTGCACCTTAAGATGAACTTTGATATAATGCCCTGATAAAGTCAATAATCTAGATTCTATATTCTAATGTAATACAATCTCCTTGTTCCTTAAAACAAAGCAGTTAGGCTGATATAAAAATTAAGGTGGCCCTGAAAAGTTTTATTTTCTATTATGAATTATTTTCCTTACCTTTTTCATTTCTTCAACATAAGCAATCATGGCTTCCTCTTTGGTCATATCACCCAAAGAACTCCATGCATCCCTAGAAATGAAGATATCCAAATAACAACAGAAAGACACCTAATTTCAATTGCTTAGAATGCAATTTACAGTTACTGCTATAGGGTCATTAATTTAAAATAGGCTTTACTTAAAGTTACTAATATAAACATTAACATGTTTCCAAAGGATCTCTTTAAATGCACCAAACTTGAAGAAAAATATCACTGAGTACAATGGCAAATTGAGTAGTATCTAAAACTAAGAAGTATAAAATATATATATATATATATAAGATTACAGAGGCCACATTATACAGACTACAGGCCACAGACACTATACACTGTTCATGACTATTTGCTAAAAACTCTTTAAAGTCTTTATCATTATAAAGAACACTGACAAAAATGAACATTTTAGAAAATTTTACAAGCATTGTCACAGTCATGTTTCAAATGAACAGAAGTTTTGGTTAATTTAAATAAGAGTCTAACTTAGATACTTGAAAAATGGAAAAGTTTTCTTACTTCTAAAAATACTGAAAATGTGAGGGACAAGAAAAATTTGAAGCGATGATGAGAAGAGCCTTTTGAAATTTTTGCCTAAAATGAAAACCTCTCTTTTTAGAGATATTTTCCAGAAACAGTTTAACTCCACCAAAGGTCAATTCTGAGGAAAATCATTAATAAATATTCTTCAAACAGTTTAAATACCATATTGCTGTTACCTTTAAGCTAGTCTTTTAGGACTTTTCAAAAAGATCTTAGAGGAAAGTACAGGACTAAGAAATCCTTAAAGGAGTTTAAGGACTTCCAGTGCCGGGTGAACTTAGCCATCGAAACACATGGCTCTTAAAGACTTACTCTGCCAGTTAGCATACTCTGTTCCTGACTTATATGATACATGGTCATGATGTTTTGTTTAGAACATTAAATGTTGGTCAGTTGGAAACATGGCAGAGGTATTTTGTGATTCTGTTAAATATATTAAAAATCAAATTTTAAGTACAGTGGGACAGAAGTGATAGCTGAGATAAAAAGTAAGCCAGAAAAAAAAAAAAGTAAGCCAGAACCTGAGTCATGCTCCTAGTTACTTATTATCTCAAAGGCTCGAAGCAAACCATGTCACCTGACAAGCCAAAGTCAGACTTTTTCTTGGCAGGTAAAAGAAGCAGGAGAGTTTGGTTTTTTAAAATGCAGTTTGTGAAACATTCTTGGCATAATAAAAATTAAAAATTACATAAAGGAACAGACTAACTGAAAATGCTTTTTTATCTTTGATACACCCACCTCTTGTGGTTTTATTGTTTTTCTCTCTTCCCCAAGACCTTCCCATTTGTGTGAAATTGTGTTAGAGCACATGGAGGATAAAAATGGATCCAATACTTGGAATACTTTATGCACAGAATAATACATAGCCACATAAATAACAGTCATATGATAATTATGTTATTAAAAATTATTTCATAGCTTTCTTCATAAAATTACCATTTATATCTTCCAACAGGATCCCAGAAGCCAGGCTTTGACAGTTTACAAGGTCCTTCAGTTGCCTGCTTATAGAAGCTATAGAACTTGAGCATCATTTCATTTGTTGGCTGGAATGAACCTGTTGGAAACATACATTAAGTAAGATCACTTGGAGAATACAATTGATCATTTAATGCAATAAATTAGCTAAGGTATACTAATAATGATTTTTTAATACTTTATCAATAGTTCAAACTATTCCTATTTTACAGAAACAAAAGTTATGGCTCAGTTTCTTCATTCCTCTGATTTAAAAATAAAATTCCCTCGCTGTCCAGGAGTTAGAATCCACCTTGCAATTCAGGGGACACAGGTTTGACCCCTGGTTGGGGAACTCAGATCCCACATGCCACACAGCGTGGGCCGAATCAAACTGAGATTTTACACTTTCATAACAATGTCTCAATTTCAAATTGTTTAATGCTATAAGTTGCAATACTCTAACAACAAAGAAAAACTGGAATATAAATGTTTTATAATAACAAGCTAAATAATTTTGATACACATATATGACAGGATTATTTATAACTACTGCCCTTAAAAACTTTGCTGTCTTTTGTGTACTAATATGGAATTACATTGATGCCATATTGTAAGTGGAAAGGTTGTAGACAATTTTATTGTCTTATTCCATCTTCAAAAAATAAATATGTATGCAAATGTATTAGTTGTACGTGTATGTAACAGCCAGCTTGTATTCATGAATGTATGATCTAGATATACACATATCAAATTATTCTCACTGATTATCTCTGGGACTTAGAAATGGGGAATGAGGCAACTTTCACTTGCACTATTTTTATATTACAAAATATGTGTTATTTTGTAATAAAATTTTAAATACAGAAAATAAAGACAGGTAGAAATCATCTAAAAATTTACTGTAGAAAAATATAAAAAAATAGCATGAAAAATGTTTCATGATCTACTATGAAATGACAACAAAACAGCAATTTAAAACAGCATAACCAGCACAATCCATTTCTGCAAAATAAATACTTACATACTTAAAAAGCAGAGTAGAAGGAAACACATCAAAATGTTAAAAGAGGATATAGCTAGATCACAGGCATATAGATTACTTCTAGTTTCTTTTTTGTTTTTATTTTTTCAAAATTTACATTTAGTGTATATTACTTTAATCCCAAAATTTATAACAAAAATTAAAACTGTAAAAATATTTTAAAAACTTCATAGATTGCATAATAATCTGATAACATGCAGTTATCGAAAGCTAATAGTTCATACACATTGTGAAAATTACAACACAGACAAGCTGAGAGCTGATGGTTCAGGTCTAGTGAAGAAAGTGAAGCTGCTTAGTCGTGTCCAACCCTTTGCGACCGCATGGACTCTAGCCCACCAGCCTCCTCCGTCCATGGGATTCTCCAGGAAAGAATACTGGAGTAGGTTGCCATTTCCTTCTCCAGGTTCAGGTTTGGCCAGGAATAAATAATTAATTCCAAAATCACAACAATAACTAAGTACACACTATATGCTCATTTTCAGTGATACAGTCTTTACACAGCAGAGGGGGATAAATGGAGAAACTATAGTTTAAAATGGTTACCTATTTCACTAACACAAACCCAAATTTAAAACATCAAAAACTTCATCTTACAATATCTTTAGTAAGTCAATCAACTGAGATTTAAAAGTTTATTGGTTAAGGTGAATAACATATACATTAGGTTACAACAAAAAATAATAATATATACTGAATGTATCCTGTGTATAAGACGTGGATAAAGTATAATCTCTGTCCTCAAGGTGCTCATGCATAGTATATTTGATATAAATGTGTTTAAAATACTATATAGGAAAACAAATTCTAAAGGCCAAGAGCATACCAAACAAGATGCTACAGGATTCTTCATAACTTTACACCGTAATAAAGATTATGCAACAAGAAACAAAAAACTCTAAGATTATTTGCAAAATAATCCTGGACAGATGACACAACTTAAAAGCTTTACTATAAAAATAATTAATGACTCATTATAACAATAGTTCTGCTTCAATTATTATCAATTTCATTTCAGGGAATAATATTACAGTACTGAACTTTGCCTAACCCTGTTGCCATTTGGCAGAGGTTCTTGACTCTAATCCTGCTGCCATTTGGCAAAGGTTCTTGACTTTGCAATATCTTCTTAAACATTATATAATACAAACCATATTTACACTTACATGGATTTCCTAATAAACAATATATGATCCTAGTAAAGACAGCAAACTATCACCAAGTCTATCCTATCAGTTCTCAAGAAGTATAAAAACATGTGTTTTAGCAGTAAAGATGAAAGTACCATTTAAACAAAACTCTTAGCATCATGCCTTCCTATAAATTCTCTCAATCAGATGTTTTGAAAATCAATACCTAAGTTCCTATGTTATTTCTTTACATTTTGTTCATTCACTCTTCTCTTTCAAACCCTCATGTGTCCTCCGATTTGATGTTTGAAGACTACGAAACGAAAGTTATTTTATGAATAGTTGTTTTCAAAACCTTTTTTATATTCACTTAATGAATGTTTGCTAATAGTACTGAACTTAGCCCAATGAATTACTTAACCCAATGATCATGAAAATAGTGACCATGACATTAAATACTGTAGTAATATATTAGTGTTGTATTCAGTTAGTTTTACACTCTGGCACAATGACCGCACTTAAAAGCATCATTTTAAAAATACAAGTTTATTGTGAAAGATAATTCATATAATGCAGAAAGATTAAGTGAAAAGTCAAAGTCCCCCTCTTCAAGCCTGTCCACAGGAAAAAAAAAAATTTGAATAATGGCCTTAAACTTCCCAACATTTGTCAAAGGACATAAAATCACAAGTTCAAAAAGCTCTGCAAAATCTTGCACAGCATAAACATGGAAGAAAACCATACCAAGACAGGTCATAATCAAACCACATAGAGAAAAATCTTGACAAAGGTCAGAAAAATGACAGGCCAAATATCAAACAACAACTCCAGTGACTTTTCACCTAAGTGACAAGACTCCAAATGAGTGTAAAAGAGAGAACACTAGTACAACAAAACAGTTTTTTTAAAGCAGTAAATATTTATGCGCTTTTTAAATAAGAGAAATCGTTTTACACGCAAATACAGTGGTTCTTTCCTTTCTTTTCCTTCATATGAAAAGTTTTCAGAAAGTAGACTTTATGAGTATGCGACCCCAGGCATCTCTATCCTAGATTTTATTTTACCATACCCAAATCCGCAGTCATTAAGTGACGAGATTTTTCAACAATTCAAACTACTTAAGATCTGTTTCAGGCTTGAAAGATCAGCAGGCAGTTAATTCACATCCGATACCTCCCTTCAACTGCATACAGAAATCAAGGAAGAAAATAAGTAGGTTAAATAAGCAAGACCAGAAGCAGAAAGCAGGTTCAAGGAGGTGGGATTCAGAAAACTGGGGCCTCGGGCCTCTGCAGGAGGCTTCTTCAGCGGCGCCCAAGTGCACGTACCATTTTTCGGCAAACTCTGGATCACCTTCACCGCCGCCTCAAACCGGGTTTCGTGCACGGATCTCGTGTCCGCCATCTCCAGCCGCCAGCGCCGGCCCCGGTCCCAAGGTCTGTCGCCTGGAATCAGGCAGCAGCAGCAGCACCAGCTTTCCCAGGAGCCTGCATGAAACTGAAACATGGAGCGCAGCCGCGGATCAACATTCCCGAAGGGAGGAGGACTCCAAAGCGCAGCTGGCCAGCTCCCCCTGGCCCTGCCCTCTCCAGGCCACACCGTCCGAGATGGCCCGGCTCCTTCCTCCTCCCCGGGGTGTGACCTACGCTGGGGAGGCCGGGCCACCCGGACGGAAAAACAACTCACCGAGAGGAAGAGCATCTCTAGCAGAAGGCGGAGGGGCCCAGGGCACCGGTGGTCGCGGTGCAGCCGTCCCACCCACAGGACCCTGGCGGAGCAGCCACATCCCCCATCCCGGCGAGGTCCGTCTATCCGTCCGCGACCTCCAGGCAGCCCCGCCCCAGAGCTTTGGGCGTGGGAGGACCCACTCTCTGCTGCCCCCGCGCAGCAAACTCCACCCACCCGCCCGGCCGCTGCGGCTGTGACGCGCGCTGTCTGTCCCTCCCCAGAGGAGATGGACCGGAGAAGGCAGAAAAGGAGAGCAGGGAAAGTGGATCGCCGGAGGGCCCTGGGATCGCTGTTTAAACAGGCCTCAGCGAAGTGTCCTTGCCAGCGCGGCCGCCGCGGGGATACAGCGCGCGCGGTGGGGGGTTGAGGGGGGTGTACTGCGAAGCAAAAAAAAAATGACTGTGGTCCCCAGCGTCTTAGGTTAAGGTTTGGAGAAACGTGATGGGGCTTAAGCAAAGTGCTTTAGATCCGACAGACTTGGTGCGAACCTTAAGTTCTGCCATTTAAAGTTCTGTGACCGACCTAGGGGCAAGTCACTTCGCCTCTCCCGGTGGCAATCTTCCTAACGCCGGCAGCAGAAAGGATTTAGGGATGCTGGGCGGAGGTGCTTAGCAGTGCTTGGTTCTCAGGCCTTCGACAGCTTTAGCCGCCCCGACACAAGGACGTCCGAGCAACAACCAAAGGAGAGGGGAGGTCGCCCGCCACTTAGACGGGGCGGGGGGAGGAAGAACACCTTCCCCGGCATCACCGCCCCCCCCGACTTCGAGCCCCAAGGAGCCGGGCACGGTACCGCTTCAGCCCGCGCTAACGGGAGACAGGGCGTGGGGCAGGAGTGAACGAGGACCCAGTACAGGCGCGACAGCCCTAGGAAGGGGTAGACCCCGGGCTTTCGCCTTCCTAGCGCATCGAACCGCATCGTCAGGCACCTAGGAAACGGCCCCAGGCCCACCGTGGGGACGCTGCTTTAGGTTCTAGGGGGTGGAGTCCTGCGGCCCAGAAACCCCAAAGTCGCCAAGGTCCCTTTGTCAGTTCGGGATGTGTTAGGAGGGTGACTATTCCAAATCTACTCTCCCCCTGGAGCCGCAGTGCCAGCCTTTACCTTGATTCTGCGGGGGCAAGGCCTGTCCGTTAAGTCCCCGATGCCCGCCCCTCGCCGTCCCCCCCGCCCACCCCGCGGGCTTGTGGGAAATGTAGTCCCCTCTCCCGGCGCTTCCGGACACCTCCCTCCCACGGCGGGAGTTCCTCCCACCTGTTCGGGTTCGGTTTCTCGGTCCCGCAGACCCCGGAGCCGTTGAGCCGGAAATCCCGCCTTCCTGTGCTCCTTCCAGAAACACCACATCCGCTTCTATCCGAAGGGAATTGACCTTCTGTGGTGTCTTCGGAAGAATCCCGGTGGGACTGGACTTGATTCGGAGAACTGGGGGTCTCATTGCTTGCTCCTGATGTTTACTAATTGAAGGCGGGAGGAGAAGGGGATTGCAGAGGGTGAGATGGTTGGATGGCATTGCCGACTGGATGGACATGAGTCTGAGCAAGCTCCGGGAGTTGGTGATAGGCAGGGAGGCCTGGGGTGCTGCAGTCCATGGGGTCGCAAAGAGTCGGACACGACTGAGCGACTGAACTGAACTGATGTTTAGTAAACGTTGAGGTCGTTGCTGTTACGTTACGGTCTTGGTAGTAAAGACTGAGGCTTACTGAGTGTCTGATAATACTTGCCAAGCGTATAACATATTCCAGAAACGCTGTAGAGTGTTAACCAATGAGGACATTGAAACATATTAAAGGATTTGTCCAAGAACAAGTAGCAGTGAGTACAGGAGTCTGTAGGGAAGACTTCCCAGGTGGCTCGGTGGTAAAGAATCGTCCTGTCAGTGCAGGAGACATGGATTCGATCCCTGGGTAGGGAAGATCCCCTGGAGAAGGGAACAGCTACCCACTCCAGCATTCTTGCCTGGAGAATTCCATGGACAGAGGAGCCTGATAGGCTACAGTCCATGCGGTTGCAGAGTCAGACATGACTGAGTGACTTTTACAGTTTGATTACAAAAGCAAAACTACTAAGATTGATACAATATAAGAGATTAATTGTGGGGATTAGAGTTTCCATGACTGTGGGAGGCCTCTGGAACACTTCACCTCTGTTACTGGACCTGATGCTAAAATGGTTCTAGATCAGCATATCTTTATAATCAGGAACTGATGTGAAAGACAAGAACAAACTGAAACCCCCTAAGCACAATCTGGAACCAATGAAGACAAATTGAATCCAACATGACCTCTCACTGCTTCTAAACTCAGTGACATGCACAACCTTCAGAACAAAATGGTACCAGTCTCCGTGGAGATGAACTCACCCCTGACCGAAGATGCAGAGCAGTTGTGTGTCAGCTGCTACTCCAGCCTGGTGTCTTTCAGAGCTGCTTCACTTCTACCTGCCAAACATCACAAAAGTTCATCTGGGAGACACAGTTCTAGCCTCTCGAAGAGTAATGGCCCAAAACAAATTCACCACAATTATTCTTTGAGTGGCCAGATTCTACTCCAGAAATATATAGAAAGATAAACATTAAAAACTTAAACATAAATCAAAAGAGAAAATGAAAAGACAAAAATCCGATCTTGGCTGTTATTTGGAAATACTATCTTATGGACTGAATGTTTGTGTCCGCCAACTTCATATGTTGAAGCCCTAACCCCTAGTGTGACTGAATCTGGAGAGAGGACCTATGATAAAGGTTAAATGAGGTCATGGGGTAGAGCCCTAATCCAATAGGCTAGTGTCATTATAAGAAGAGGAGGAGATAGCAGCCCTCTTTCTCTCCCATAAGCTAGCATCTTGATCTTGGGCTTCTCCAAGAACCGTAAGAAATAAATTTCTTTTGTTTAAGCCGCCCAGTCTATGGTATTTGTTTATTATGGCAGACTAGGTCGCGAAGAGTCGGACACGACTGAGCAACTAAACTGAACTGAACTGAAGTGAACAAAGACACCACGACTACTTGTGAAAGACAGCCAAAGAGGAAGAAGAAATGAGGCATAAATATGAGACAAAATTATTTTTGGATAATAGAATTGTCGATCTAGAAAAATGATACTGAATAAGCTAAAATGCTATTAAAATTGAGTTCAGGAAGATGAACAATTTGGGACAAATATACAAAATCTGTAGCTTTCTAATGTTGGAATGCAAAAATTAAGCCCAGATAAGATTAGAGACTTAAATATAAAAAGCAAAACTACAGATTCTTAGAGGATAAGGCAGACCTAGCCAATATGACAAGAAAGAAAAGTATGAATGAGATACAATAATCAGGAAAGAAAAAGTAAGTATTTCATTATTTGCAGATGAGATGTTTGTCCACATAGAAAATCTCGGGCAATTATTACAATGAAGAAAGTGTCCAGCAAGCTTGTTGAACATAAAGTTAATCAATAATGATCCCTTAAACCAACAATAATCAATTAGAAAGTGTAATAGAAAAATACTGACAATAGCAATAAAATTCAAAATACTCTGAACAAAGAAAAATATGTAATACCTTTATGGAGAAAAATTATAAAATTTATCAATGGGCATGAAAGACCTGAATTAATTGACACATGATGGTTCTACCCAAAGCTACAAAGATGAAAACTCTCCTCAAATTAATGCATAGATACAATGTAAAGTCAGTTATAATCCTCATAGGACTCTGTGGAACTTTATAACCCAACTCTTAAAAACCCTACAGGAAGGTCTAGAACAAGCAAGATGATTCCAGAAAGAACGTGTTGGAATGTTACATTAATCAGAGTGGGCTATCTGCTACAATCAACTCCTGTAGTATCTCAGAGGCCTAACACAATGAAGTTTATCTCTGTGGTAGGTTGGACTCTGCTCCATTTAGTCATCCAGGAAGTTAGGATTATCAGGCTCCATCATCCCAAAGACCTCTGAGTCCTCCTCTGGATCTGCGGCCTCAAGCCAGAAGACACTAAGAAAGAAGACACAGTCTCAGGGGAGATTTTTAAGCGCCAGCTCTAGAAATGGTGAATATCACCTTACAGCTCTGAAAGTGGCAAATATGGGTCCCACTTCACACAATACTAAAGATTTTTAGTCAACTTAAATTTCTACCTAAAAGAAAACTGGGCTTACTGAACAAATAGCCATCTCTACCACAAAACATTGGCACTGCCAAATAGCATGCTTAAGAATAATTGATAATTAATGAGTGTGATATTGACGGAGGAAATCTAGTTTAATAGGACAGAATAGAGAAGCCAGAGATAGACAGGAATTAAAAATTAGTGGAGAAAGAATGAACTATTAAGTAGCAATGGAACAATCCCACATGGAAAACAAAAATATTATGATCCTTACTTCAGAAACACACATAATAAATTCCACACAGATTAAGGATCTAATGTATAAAATGTATCTTTAACATCCTTAGAAATAAAACAGCTGCTGTGTCTCACAACCCCAGAGGGTGCCATTCATGTTGTAATTAACTGATATTATCTGATGCCCCCTAAAGTCATGCAGCACAGTGGTCTTGCTTATGATTAAGTGTTAAGGAAAAGTTTACATAACAAACCCTCAAAATAGAATTGTAAGAAGAAAATATGGGGACTTCCCTGGTGGTCCAATGGTTAAGACACCATGCTCCCAATGCAAAGGGTGCAGGTTTGAT